TAGCTTTTGGGACTGACATAGGACACTATTGACCCATTCTGAATCTAATAATTTCTATAGCCTCTTCATGAGAATTACAGTCTAATATGATTTAATTCATCCTATACATATGCTACAGATGTTTAAAAATGCAAATACATTTCTTCCTAGAGCATTCAGTCAATAAGCCTAGAACATTGTGATATTTTTGGATCATAATTCTGTCATTCAATGTCCTAGCTGTCCCTTCTCTCTCTGTGTCATCAATCAATCAATGAGTCATTTGAAAAGCCCCTACAACGTGCCAGGAACTGGGGATTCAAATACCAGGAATTAACTAATACCTATTTTCAAAGAGCTTTACATACCATCTATGCCTTCATCCAAATCATTGTTAAAATGTTGGAGCAACACAGGTCCAAGCTCAGGGCCCTGTGATGCTCCAATAGAGACTTATTTCCATCCTTATAGAAATCAATTAATGTCTTTTTGGGGAGGGGTTCAGGTCATGCTACTAGTTCTCAACCTTCCTAACTGAACTAGGAAATAGCCCAAATCTCCACGCCTTCTCTATGAGGATAGCATGGACATCACTGTCACATGTCTTACTGAAATCCAAGGATCCCAAGTCTATGACATTCCTCTGATGTTATTATTTCCATCTATATGCTAGTCCAATGAATTGTAGTTGAAGTAACCATGCAAACTTCATGGCTGCATACCAAAAGCTTTATTCATTAATAAGCATGAATAATGAGCATGGACATCCACTGGAATGAGCTCTGTGGCCCATCTATTATGTAAACTCACGATGGAAAAGCCACACCTTGGGAGGCTCCAGTCTGCCTCATGTCCTAGTGTCTTTAGCTTTGAATGAATAACCATGCTACTCTGCTAGAAAAGGCTCAGATGTCAAGGGGGGATGCAACATTTCTCTCACTTTTTCCTTTAGACAGATTCCAAGGTCTGCCTCTTCAGGCTAGTAGGGATGGAGTGCCTTCTTTCACAACTCTCTAAAGGGATTGGGTGAGAGACCCAAGTAGATGATAAGGAATGAGCTTTAATTAAAGCCTGGGAATATGTCCAATTAGGCTAAGCAGAAGAGAGGGGGCTCCCATTCCATTTGCAGCCACAGAAACTGGAACTCTAAAGCTCTGTTCTCCCAGCATTGAGGCAGGGAGGGACCCAGCAGGAAAAAGGTGCCCATGCACTACTTCCTTGTTCCTTCTCTTGCAGAAGCCTCTTATCTAAAGAGGATCTGCTAGCATCACACTAAGTAAATGAGGCATAGTCTTACTTCTACCGCCCCTACACACGCACACACACACACACACACACACACACACACACACACACACACACAGAGTCCATTTTCTTTAAGCCAAAAACAAAGGATGATTAAAACAAAACGTCTCTGTTTCATAAGTATGTGGGATGTGCTGGAGCTTGTCACTGGCAAGATTCTGATCAGACACACAGAGACAGGAGTTCCTAAGAGGAGCAATGGTCGCCTTGACAGGAAAGCAAGGTGAATGTCTCACACACACACACACACATACATACATGCACACTCCCTCCAACCACTACATATATGTACACACAACCAAGAGCCTGAAGAAGAGTTCCCTTTGATTCTTCCATTTGTTTTCCAGAGCTTTAGAAGGAGAGAGGAGAAAGGAGGTCAAACCTTTCTGCTCAAAAGTTTCCCTCTTGCCTTCCCTTAAATGAGGTTTAAATATAAGTAAGCACTAGTCTCTGCTTGACAAAGACAAAAGTACAGCTTAGAAACTAGGTCTGTGGTTCTGGAGATCAGCTCAAAGGAACCTAAGAGGCCACTTAGTTCAACATCTTCATTTTACAGATGAGTAAACTGAGGCTGAGAGGTTCAGTGTCTTGCCTAAGTCAGTAAGTAGCAGAAGGCAGAATTTGAACTGAGATCCTCTGCTTCTAGAGGCAGCTTTCTTGGTTACTGTTCCCACTCTTCTTTAAGACTAACTCTTCCATTCCATACTTTCCAGTATCATACCATAGTCATCATGAAAGTTAGTACGCTGATGGAACAGGACAGAGTCTCTACTAAAATTGGCCAGACCCTGTCGATTCATAAAGCATTTATTAAGTTTCTGTCAGCTATTTAGGAGACACTGTGCTTTTTGACACTGGTCTTAACAAAGACAAAAATGACTCGGCCCCTGCTCTCAGAGAACCTAGATTTGATTGGTGGCAGGAAGTTGAACCAATGGGAGAGAAACAATATGTACTCAAATAAGTTGACACAAAATATATGCCAATTAAAATTTATTTAGTTTCAGGGCTTCTGAGTCTAAAAAAAAGAAAAACTACATACCTAAGAAATTTCAAATCAGCCTTCATAGGTGGAATTTACAGTTTCCATATTTGATGGCTTGCTTCACTCTATCCCCTGGCCATCATTTTCATCCTTGACTCTTGCTATTTCATTTGTAGTAATTGTGACTTGTAATGTAAGCAAGATAAGAAAGGAAATATGGATATAACTGGGCCCATCTATCACCATATTTAGGAAGATAATTGACAGGGTGTACTGCAGGGAAGATAGGGTCACTTTTATGTAGAAAGGATAACATTAATTCCAGGATAATAATTTTTATATTTTTTATAGGGCAGCTAGGTAGTGTAGTAGATAGAGCCCTGGTCCTGGAGTCAAGAATACTCATCTTTCTGAGTTAAAATATGGTCTCAGACACTTACTATGTAATCCTGGGCAAGTTACTTGACGCAGTTTGCCTCGGTTTCCTCATCTATAAAATGAGCTGGAGAAGGAAATGGCAAACTGCTTCAGGATCTTTGCCAAAAACAAACAAATGAAAAACAATGAAATGGGGTTGTGAAAAGTTGGACATGACTGAAACAACAGAAGAACAACACGATGTTTTTAATAGTGTCGATCAGTAGTTGAGTTCTGCCCCTCATCCACACTAGTTTTGCGACCTGCTAAGTGATTTTACATATGAGTGTTCCAAAAAACTCTCTAAGACTATCAATTACAGAGAAGACATGAACTAACCTGCATTGGTAGAGGAGTTTCTCACCTTGAAATAACTTCTAGAGCACTGAAATCCTGTCTATTTCCTGTCCTTACCCCACTGGTGAGTGGAACATTTAACCTAGATAAGATGGCATCCCACCCTAATGGGAATATTTGCTTCAATTATAACAGGGCATCTTTCTGTGGGTGCCCTAATGTTGTTTATTGAAGATTGCTCCAGGGCTTATCTTCTTTTTTTTGGATTACCAAGGAGTCGGAATTTTTTCTTCTTTGACCATCCTTGATTCACCAAATGTTTCAATGAAGAGGTTGAATCAGGACAAGGAAAGAAACAATAATAATAATAACAACAATTCTAATTGACCCAAGGATTTAATCAGGGATATAGGGGATATGAAGTGAAACACGGTTAAACTAAAATTATTAGATTATGGTACATTTCAATGTTCTAGGCTGTACCCAGAAATGATGCTGCTTTCTTTTAATAAAGAAAAAAACAGCACTCGGGATCCTGACCCATACTCAGACCCCAGACAACAAAGCCTAAGACGTTTGTCTGCTTTCTCCGGCAATGCCTTCTGAATGAAAATGGCTTTGGGGGACAAAGGAGAAGTAGTAGGAAGACAGAACAATATATTGATTCTCACAAAAACCTTAGGCTTCTCGTTTTCCTTCTCAAACTTAATCCTCTTGTCCAACACTATGATGGGAAAAAGGAAGAGCAGAAAAGGAACACAACACCATTTATGACATGAGGTCATTACATAGAAATGTGCCTGATTCTAGACCAGGAGTCATTTACCATTATTGGGGGGGTGTCGATGAACCCTTTTGGCAGGCTGGTGGAGGCTAACCATGCTCACAAAAATGTTAAGGATTTGTGGTGCATGAAGTAGAATTTGTAGCAATGGTAAGGAAATAAGTTCTACTGAAATGTAATATCTATGTATGTATACATACACATGTGAATATAAACTAATATACGGAGATATATGTTTATGTAGGAAGCAGAAAAACAAGTTCACAGACTCTCCGGTGAAAACCCCTGGAGAATGTCAGAGCTCGGAGTGACCTTAGAATGCCAAATGCCAGGAAAGAAAAGAACCTTAGGGCATCAAACGTTAGAGTTAGAAGATAATTTAGAACATAAAACATGGGTGTAAGGCCCAAATATTAGGTCATAGATATTAGAATGCTGACATAGACAAGAACTTACTCATAGACATGAGACTATCAGAGCATAGGAAATTCCTTAGAACACACACACATATATACACACACACACACAAATGTGCAAACATGCACAGACATATAAACACATACATGTATACTCACACACATACAAACTGTCAGAATGGAAAATGGTGTTGGAATACACAGCATAAAATGGCAGAGCTGGTTGAATCTTTTGACCACAGAGTAAATAACGTCAGAGTTACAGGGGGCCTTAGAATAGAGATTTGAGGAAGTCAGAGCCGAAAGAGAATTTCTACTGTGGAACGTAGAATGTTGAAGCTCTTTGAACCTAGAACCCAGAGCATCAGTGCTGGGAGGGACACTAGGGATAACTAGTCCAGGCTCTCAATTAGTGGTTCAGGAATCACCCCTGAGAGGGCTTGTGTGGCCTCTGTCAGCATCAGCAACAACTTAAGCCTCACTACATCCAAGTTGAGTCAAAGGCCCTGGAGATAAAAGGGGTGCAAGGCATGGTCCTCCCCTTTGTGTCCCCATAATACAGTGAGGGAGGAAGGACAGCTCCTTTAGAAGACAGATAACAGCAGTGATCAGGACATAACCATGGGCAAGCAAAGCGGGATTAGTTTGTGAGAAGAAATGGTCTAGTTTAGAGGTTTTCTGATTTCCAGTCTCCTAGTCTTTTCACTAGCTTGACCGACTTCCAGTGTGTTTCCCTCTGGGCTCCCATACAAGGTTTGGCCATTTCTCTCACCTATCCCCAACACCTCCTCCCCCAGGGGTAGAGAAGAGTACTTACTTATCCAAGGAGGCACCAGGGAAGACAAATTTGCCAAGACAGATGTGACAGATGCTGCTTAGGGGAATGCGTTGAAATTGGACACAGCTGAGCATGATGAAGTCATATTTGCAGATCAGCAAGGTGTTATCAGTGATCGCCACCACCCTTTCCTTCTCATTGTTCCAGTGGTCCACTCTGCAGGGAGCAATGGGATAGAATAAGGATGACTATAACTCAGCTTATCCAAAAGAGGAGAGTTAATGACATAAAAGGAGCTCAGAAGCCACTGTTGTGATGAAGCCCCTGGGCATCACACACAAAATCATGGTAGCTGACATTTTAATGACTCTTTCTGGTTTGGAAGCCACTTGACATGCATTTATCTCATTGGGTCCTTGCAACAACCCTTTCATGTAGCTATAATGTTTTTAAGTATTGCCATTTTACAACCTAGAAAATAGAGGCTCAGAGAGTTTGTGATTTGCCCATGGTTACACTGAAAACCAGTGGTGAAGGGGGAATTTGAACTCAGGTCATCCTGACCCTAAAGCAATATTGACCTAAGAGTGTCAGAGAGTGGAAGTGAGTTCCAATGAAGCTCCAAAAGGAAGGACCACAGATGAGTATGAAATCTTAGCTCCCAAAGTTCTTCATGTCAACATGTCCCTACAAAAGCTGTGTCTTTTTATAGTATTTTTGCATCTGTTAGGTCTGACTTCATTGTTAGAATATTTGTGGGTTCCCTTGTCTGTCCACATCATCCTCAATGTGGAGAAGCATGAAGAGACATTGTGATTGAGTTGTGATCAGTAAGCAGAAATTTAATGAAAATCGAATAAACGCCAGGCAATTTGCTAGACACTGAGAGCCCCAAAACAGAAGTACAAGAGCTTCTGCTATCAAGGAGCTCACATTCTAACAGGAGAGACAACATGCATATGCACAGGGATTCGTAGAGCAACAACCAAACGCACACAAGAGAACTTTGAAGGAAGAAAGCCCCAGCAGCTGGGGGACCTGGAAGGACCTCTTGCAGAAAGTAGCTCTGAAGCTGAGTCCTGGAGCAAATCAAGGAATCTACAAAGAGGAAGTGAAGAGCAGGCTGAGCCCAAGCAGGATGACTAGCCAGGACAAAGTCACAGAGGCAGGAAATGAAGGGTCCTGGGTAAGGACCGGCGAGGCTAGTGTGGTTCACCTAGACAATGAGTTTATGGATCAAAAAGGAGTATGGCTGAAAAAATAGGATGAGGCCAAGTTGAAAAGAGATTTAAATTTCAATGAAACTATAATAATTGTCTGGAAACACTGCAGTTTATTGAGGGGTAGGGAGGCAACATAGTCAGACCTGTGCTTTAGGAAATTGCTTTGAAATCTTGAAAGATGGACTGGAGTAAAGAGAAATTTGAGACAGGGAGACCAAATAAATAAGAGAATATTACAATAGTGTGGAAACGAGATGATGGTGGCTGTGTGAGTAGTGAGAAGCAGACAGAGGCAAGAAATAGTGAGATAGAAGCCATATGATTTAACAACTGATTTGTTATTTATGCAACAGGAGGAGAGAGGGATTGACTAGTAAGACCAACCCTTCTGAGCATGTGCATTCAATAGTTAGTGATTACAGAATGTCTGTAAAAGCTTCAAAGTCAAGAGGCAACTAGTCAGGAGAACCTGAGTTCAAACCCAGCCTCAGACACTTGACACTACCTGTGTAACCTTGGGCAAGTCATTTAACCCCAGTTGCCTCACCAGAAAGAAAAAAAAAAGATCCAAAGCCTACATGGAGGTTGTAACAGCCTAGACCATCATTTGAAGGGCCCAGCTCCTTGGCCAGTCCCCATTATGTGTCAGGTGAGTCAGACTGAGGAATTGAATGCAGCAGTGAAGTGAAGAACCTGTGAGGCTGGAAGCCTTAAGCTTGAAAGAAGATTTGTGAAAAACCATGGTAGTTTCTGTTCTGTACAGTATGGAATCTTGATGTTTTGGGGACATCCCAGTTTGAAATTGTCCAAGGCAGTTAGTGAGGTGAAACAGGAGTGAAATAGACTGCCTGGAACTGAGCGTAAGATCTGAGTGTCATCTGCTTACAGGTAATAATTGAAGCCATGGGCAATGATGAGATCACCAAGCCAGATAGTATAGAAGGGAAAGAAAAGAAGGCCCTAGACAGAAAGCTGGAATATTCCCATAGTTAAAGCCATGGTAACATGATAGGTGAAAGATGGATGACGGAGGAAACAAAGGTTTGAGCCCCCAAGCATACTGATTTATTAAACAATGAATGCCAGTTGGTAACAAATTGGGACCAGACCTCCTCATCTTAGGGCTAGACCCCAAATACAGAGGAGACAGATTTTCGTGCATCAAAACAATTACTCAAATAAAACCAATTAGTTAAAAGAAAACAATTAACCAGGATACAAAATTAGGTAATGTGATTTCTAATTGGAGGAAAGATTAGGGACCTTCCAAGTTGGGAAGGAAAGAGTGAAGTGGTACAACTTTCTGAAATCAGAAAAAAAAGTAGTGTCCCACTCTCCCCAACATCTGTATTAAAACAACAATAACAATAACAACGGCATGGAAACAGTAACTGATTAACCAATACAGAGCCAGTGTTCAGAAAAGACACACGGATTGTTTAGGATATGTAATTGAGAGAAAATTCCTTCCATCAATCATCCATCTCATTGGATTCATGGTCTGCGTAACCAAGTCCTCAGTAAGGGTCTCTAAGCAGCAGGTAGAGGGGGTCCAGCTTCCCAGCATACAGAGCTTCATCCAAGCAATACAACCATGTACTTTCACAATTTCCACAACTGAATAAAGGTTTCTCACAAGACAGAAGTTGAATTAGACCAATAACTGAATAGAAAGATATCTGAGTTAGCTCCAGAATTGAGTCACAAGATGGAGCAGTGGGGTTCACTCAATTCCTACCACCGCTTGATGTTGTAATTCCCTCAATTGTTTTAATAGTTATGAAAATTCAGCAAAGGAGGCTAAGAAAGAGTGGCCAGACATATAAAGTGAGAACCAAAGGAGAGAAGTATATCAAAAACTGCGAGACAAGAAGGTATCAAAGATTAAACAGTGGTCAACAGTGTCAAATTCTTGGATGGTTGAGAAGCATGAGAACTGAGAAAAAGCCATCAGATTTGGCCATTAATAAATCATTGATAATTTTGTGGGAAACAATTTCCATTCAGTGATTAAGTCAGAAATTAGAGTGAAAATAGTTTAGAAGACTAAAAGGAAAGAAAAAAAAAGAAGGAAATGAGTGTAGACAGAATTTTTAAGGAGTTTGAGACAGAAAGGACAGATAACAGAAAGAAATGAATATTCATGTGTGTGTGTGTGTGTGTGTGTGTGTGTGTGTGTGTGTGTGTGTGTGTGTGTAGTTCAGTGAATAGAGCACCAGGCCTAGAGTCAGGAAAATTCATTTTGGTGAGTTCAAATTTAGCTTCAGACAACTTCAGACCCTGGGCAAGACACTTAACCTTCTTTGCCTCACTTTCTTTATCTGTAAAATAAGGTAGAGAAAGCAATGGCAAACCACTCTAGAATCTTTTCCAAGAAAACCCCAAATGGAGTCACAAAGAGTTGGACATGACTGAAAAATGAATCAACAATAAGAAAAACAACTTTATATATATATGTATGTATGTATGTATATACGTATGTATACACACATATACATTTATATGCACATATATATGTGCATGTATATGTACATGCACATATATACACATATATATGAGTCTGAGTCTGCATTATTTCTGTATACATGTGTATGTGTGTGTAAACATGCGTACATACTTCTTGAAACAAATACCCTTCCTTTAATAATATCCATATAATGTGCATGTTCTTGTATGGCCTTAAACATGCAACACTGAACCATTAGGAAATTATTAATAATGAGAGAAAACTAAGGCCCATGGAAGGTGCATGGTGATGAATAGAATGTAACACATGACAAATAAGGAGATAGAACATTGGTGCACAACTTGGCGGGGGGGGGGGGAATTGTGCTCCCACCCTCCTTAAGTTGTATCTTTGCAGATTATATCCCCCTTCCCCAGAATGGATATTCTTAGTGAGCAGAGGCTATTTCATTGTTATCTTTGAATTTCCACTGCCCGGAACACAGTAGGGGCTTAATAAATGCTAATCAAATTACCTCGCCCTGGTCCTGTCAGGCAGTAGTCTTTGGAAGCCTCTCATAAAATGCTTCTCACTATTCACACAGCAACCACCTAGTTCAGGCCCTCATCCCTTCTCACGTGGACTCACATGCTCTCCTTATTAGTTTATCTGCTTCTCATCTTTTCCCCTCTCCAGTCCATTCTCTGCTCATATTCTAAAGGGATTTTCCCAACCACAGGTTACGCTCATGCTCAGAAACCTCCACTGGTTCATTATTATTTTTATGAGCGAACATAAAATCCTCTGTTTGGATGTAAAGCCCTCCACCACCTGACCCCAGCCTCCATTTCCCGCCTTCACACGTTGACTCCTCTTTTAGACATACCTTATAGTCCACACAAACTGCCCCCACATAATGTTCCCCCAACAATATCCTCCCTCTCCTGACTCAGAACTTTGGGATTATATGTCTCCTGCATGGAACTCTTACCCTCTTCTCTTCCCTCCCCACTTCTGTAGTTTCAGCTCAAACCTTCCCCAGATGCCCTTTCCTGGTCCTCAATCACCCATATGCCTTCTCTTGAGACTACCTTCCCTTTACACTGCATAGCTATATTATAATAAATATATATACATATGTGTATGTATATATTATATATTTCTATATATACATATATGCACATACATGTATGTGTGCACATATAGCATACATAGGAATGTGTGTGTATATATATGTATGTATGTGTGTGTGTGTGTATATATATATATATATATATGTATAATATTACCACTGGTATTGGGTGCAAATAAGTCCCAACTGTGTGTGTTATTATTGAAATGTTAGACTCTGAGCTCCTTAAAGACAGGGACTTTTTGCCTTTTTTTGTACTGCCTGCACTTAGCACACAGTAGACACTTAACAAGCCTTCATTAACTGACTTCCTCTCCCCACGGTCTCCTCCTTCCCTCCAGTCTTTTGGTTGGAGTCAATGAAAGTAGCAGTGGCAGACTAGCTCTTCAGTTTCACTAGTGGGTTTCCTTGTGGT